TAACGAGGGCGGGGGACCGCTTTCGCCGCCCTCGACCGGAGGTCCACAGGCCTGCTGTGGACTTCCCGACGAGGAGGAACCCTGTTGCTGCTGTTGCTGTTGTTGCTGCTGCGGGTACAATCCACCGTCCTGGAGAGATCCCGGCCCCGGGCCCCACTGACCCTGGGGTCTCTCCATGTTATCTTTGTACAATACGTAGGGCGCGCCAGTATCTGCAAGTAAATAATGCAGAAGAGAATACGCGGTTAGATGGGTGCTGATACAACAGCGCATTATTGTGAGAGAAAAAATACAGAGATACCTCCGCTCTACTTGCCGCTTGCCGTATACAATAATACATTGTATTTTATCGATTTTACGATTATTACGCTTACGTCTCGGATTCTGCGTACAGTCTGGTACGAATGTCGCTTGAATAGATAGTTAATACTGTATTTTACAAACTTGTTCTTTGGCCGATTTCAGTTAAGGATAGTGTTAGTTGAAACTGGGCCACGAGTCGTAGATGTAGTTTGCATCTTTAGAATCTTCGATCTGAGAACGCGCGTTCTAGAATATCGGATCGGACCACGTTCCTAGTCACGCATGGACAGACACGTCCGGTTCACGCTTCACAAGTTCAACCGCTGTTATGCAGGTCGAATCTATGAACTGCGTATCGCGCTGATAACTTACAAGGTGTTAAAGGTACGGACGCCGTAGAAAATCACGTGACCGATCCGTTGGATTCCTGCATCCTTGACGGATAATGTCCTTGGACGTTCGAACGAGACGGAACTTTTTACAAACATATCGCGCCTTCGTGCTAATTCATTCTCTTTTTTATACTCGTTAATTTTTTTTTAAATAGGCGTATAACGAAGGCGAATACGATTATAATTAACCGAAAATAAGAGGCAAACGCAAAGGAAAGTAATCATATCGCGCCAAGTTTTTAATTAAAGTTTGCTACGCTATTTAAGCGCTTATTTAAGGCATGTGTCTCGCCCAATCGGTATTATCGCGCGCAATTACGTAGCGAGGAATAAGACGGCTTAAGTCGTTTTACGATTACAGAATTTATGTTACGCAATATCGCGAGGCATTCCTCCTCTTATCATACTAATTACATCAGCCTTCATTTTCTTTTATTTGCCATTTCGGGTTCGTCACTCAACTTTGCATTTTGCGCGGTCCGTTTAAAGCAATTTTTACTTCTGCTTTGTCGGATGACTCATCTGATGCAATATTGTTTCTTCTTGAAAAGTATTCCAATGGAAGTTTTATCGCCTGGATATGCAACAAGTCACGGTCTACAAGATCCTATTTGTATCAATTTATATCAATCGGAAATGCACACAAAAATATGATGGTTCATTTTATGTTAAATTGATTTAAGATGAAATAAATGCTAATTTACCAAAGACAGAAAGATATAAGACCAAATTTAAATGGATACGTATAAAAGAATACAAAATAAATCGAAACGTTGTATGTGGGTGATTAATATTATACGACAAAGAAAAAATTTGGAAATATCCATTAACAAATCTCAATATACAAATTCATGCCAAAGACAAAAAAAAATTATGTCGCGATTCGATACATCTCGAACGTGAATCAATCGTATTTAGCTAATCGTATTTTGCTAATCGTTTTTGTTATGTCGCGTTTACTCGTTACATAACCGTTATTTGTTAAGATAATACTTCACGTGTATTGAGCACGTCAAGGTTAGTTGATTGCAATTCCAAGTTTATCCCGTCACATAATTGCATTTAACTATTTCGAGAATCTCCGGTGCGATAACATTGTAATATCCCGTTGAGAGAAAGGCAGTCGGTCGAAAAGTGACGTTAACATGATATTCGCAGCCCGAAGAGTATCGTTATTATTACTGATATAATTCTGCGTAATATTTCGCGAATTCCAATGATTAGCGCGAATTTTTTAATTAGCGTGTCCATGCAGTGCTATCTTGTTTTGTGCGAAGCACCGCCTTCCGTTTCCCTGAATCGAATGTACTATACATTACTAAACGTCTCTTCAAATACTTTCTCGATAGTGAAAAAGAATTCAAGTAATATATTACAGAAACATCAATCGCAAAGTCATGCAAATGTTTACGCGCCAATATCAGTGATCCATACTATACTTGTATATTATACGTTGTATCCCTGTATTATGGTGGAATAATGACGGGCTGTTACAATATATCCATTAATCTGCCCTAAAGCCGGCTTATTTTGAGAAATCCATCAAAAGTT